TCATTCAAATACAGAACTTGGAGAAATTGCAGCAAATAAACTCTTAGAATTGGACCCAGATAATCCAGGAAATTATGTGTTGATATCTAATGTCTTTGCTGCAAGTCGAAGATGGAAAGATGTTAAAGGAGTGAGATTGAGAATGAAGGGAAGTGGATTGAAGAAAAATCCCGGATGTAGTTGGATTGAGATTGGAAATAAGGTTCATACTTTCATGGCAAGAGACAAATCTCATCCGGAGTCTAATGAGATATACCGAAAATTGGCTGAGATTACCAGGAAGTTGGAAAGGGAAGGAGGCTATGTAGCCCAAACAAGGTTTGTTTTGCATAATGCAGATGAAAAACATAAAGTTGAGATGCTATATGGGCATAGTGAAAGGCTTGCCATTGCATATGGTGTGCTTAAGATTCCGAAAGGAACACCTATTCGGATAACAAAGAATCTTCGTGTTTGTGGTGATTGCCATTCTTTCTGCAAGCTTGTTTCCAAGTTGCTGGAACGAGAACTTGTTATAAGGGATGCCAACAGATTTCATCATTTTGAAGGTGGGCTGTGTTCTTGTGGGGATTTTTGGTAATCATACAAGTGACTATGACTAAATTATACATAATCAATTGATGAGTGATTATATTATCATTCTTCTCAACTGGAAATGCCATGGTTATGTTAAAGAAGTGAGATTGAGAATGAAGGGAAGTGGATTGAAGAAAAATCCCAAATGTAGTTGGATTGAGATTGGAAATAAGGTTCATACTTCCATGGCAAGAGACAAATATCTTCCAGAGTCCAATGAGATATACCGAAAGTTGGCTGAGATTATCAGGAACTTGGAGAGGGAAGGAGGCTACGAAGCCCAAACAAGGTTTGTTCTGCACAATGCAGACAAAAAAGAGAAAATTGAGATGCTATATGGGCATAGTGAAAGGCTTGCCATTGCATATGGCGTGCTTAAGATTCCGAAAGGAACGCCTATTCGGATAACAAAGAATCTTCGTGTTTGTGGTGATTGCCATTCTTTCTGCAAGCTGGTTTCTAAGTTGCTGGAACGAGAACTTGTTGTAAGGGACGTTAATAGATTTCATCACTTTGAAGGGGGACTATGTTCTTGTGGGGATTTTTGGTAATCATACAAGTAACTATGACTAGATTATACATAATCAATTAATGGGTGATTATATCATCGTTCTTGTCAACTGGAAATGCCATGGGGAAACTTGATGTCTTTGCTGCTAGTGGAAGATGGAAAGATGTTAATGAAGTGAGATTGAGAATGAAGGGAAGTGGATTGAAGAAAAATCCCAAATGTAGTTGGATTGAGATTGGAAATAAGGTTCATACTTCCATGGCAAGAGACAAATCTCATCCAGAGTCCAATGAGATATACCGAAAATTGACCGAGATTACCAGGAACTTGGAAGGGAAGGAGGCTACGAAGCCAAACAAGGTTTGTTTTGCACAACGCAGCCAAAAAAGAGAAAGTTGAGAGATGCTATGTGGGCATAGCAAAAGGCTTGCCATTGCTTATGGTGTGCTTAAGATTCCGAAAGGAACACCAATTCGGATAACAAAGAATCTTCCTTTTTGTGGCGATTGCCATTCTTTCTGCAAGCTGGTTTCGAAGTTCTTGGAACGAGAACTTGTCGTAAGGGACGCCAATAGATTTCATCACTTTGAAGGTGGACTAAGTTCTTGTGGGGATTTTTGGTAATGATACAGGTAACTATGAGTATATATTATACATAACCAATGTAATGGGTGATTACATTATCATTCTTGTCAACTGGAATTGCCATGGCTTAATGTGTAAGTTTGGCAATCGGCGCACTGATTGATTCGAAACAAACAAGTATCTTTAAACCTAAATCTCGATCGTATTTCAATATTAACTATATGTGTTTTGCATATTTAGACAATCCATCTATGCATGAACATTTTACACATCCTATATACTAAATCATAAAATGTAGATGTAAAACAAAACCATTACAGTTAATACAGAAGTAGTTACATATATGCTTGAGTTAAGTTAATGACTTCAAAATATTATCATGTTTTCCTTCTCACCCAATGATGACAGACAAACTTTTGTTGTAATTATAAATTTTTTTCCCTTAATGAATGAAAACTGCTACACACACACACACACACACACACACAGTCACACACACACTCACACACACACACACACACACTCACACACACACACACTCACACACACACACACTCAGTCACACACACACTGACACACACACACACACACACACACACACACACACACAGTCACACACACAGTCACACACACAGTCACACACACACACACTCAGTCACACACACACTCACACGCACACACTCACTCACACACACACTCACACACACACACTCACACACACACACACACACTCACACACACACACACACACACACACTCACACACACACATATACATAAAGAAAGAAAGTTGAGAGTTCAAGAAACAAGAAAGTAAAGCCTGTGAAGCTTATAAGTGATGGTGTATTTGTTGTTCTTGCCAGTTTCAATTTTATTATTTTGTAAAAAAAATTTAATTTTAATTAATTAATTAATTAATCTGATAACTATAAATAAATTAAATTGTGGAGAGGTAGGGGAATAGGTGTAGTAGTCAAAGTAGCTGTCCAAAGGAATATTGAGGATCATGTTAATTAATGGAAAATTTAATTAAGTTTTAACTCTTAAATTTGATTTAATTTCTTATTTATAAGTAAAAAAAAATGTTTAATTTAATGATTAACATAAAAAAATTAGGAATCAAAACTGTTAATTAAATACCCTTTATTTAATTAAAAAAAATATATTTAAATTAGTTAATTAAAGAATTTAGATATATTTATGTATATTTAATTATGGTTTTGTAAAGGTTCTCTCTCTCTCACGGGATTTTCATAGCCCTCAGGTCTAATAGTACTATAGCAGCAACTTCATTTCCCTGCTTTATATATATATATATATATATATAAATATACACACACACTCTCACACACACACACATACTTACATATATATATATATATAAATTAATATTCTGCTCCTCTTGTTTTTTTGGCTCATGCATGGCTGACAATTTCCACTTAATCAGTCTGCTGACTTGAACTTGTTTCCTTTTTAAAATTTCATTTTATAATATTTTAATAAATTAAATAAAATTATCTATTTCTTTATAATAAAAAAAATTACTACCAAAATTTTAATTTATTATGTTTATTATAATTAAATAAATTTAATCGTTATAAAATATTGTTTTTATTTAAAAATAAAATAAATTTATTAAAATTTACTCAACTTATTTACTACAATTTTATTAATGTATTTATAAATTAAAATTAAAATTTTAATGAATTAAATATTATAATTTATAATATATTTATAAAATAATAAATTTTATATTTTTAATGAAATTTAAATTTATAATTTTTAAATAAAACAAAAAAATTAATTATTATATTGGTGAAATTATTAATTCATATTTATATCATTTTATTAATCTATTGAGTAATTAATTAAATACTATTGTTTGATAGTTTAATAAACACAAATTATTAGATAAATTACAAAAATTATATATATTTAATTAAATAATAATTATGATATTCTAGTTTTATATTAACAAATATTTCATTATTATATTCCTATATATATACATATATATAAACACAAATTATATTTTATTAATAACTTAAATTTATTTTTTCTAACTAATAATTTGGTTTGAAAATATTATTAATTTGGTAGTGCTTGAGTTCAAAATATTAATGTTCTTACATTTCTCTTTTTACAAAAAAGAGATGACATTAATAATCACAAGACGCAGACCGTGTTCTGCGTGGAAGGGAGGAAGAGCTGAGAGAAGAAAAGTTTTGGAGTATAGATGGAAGAATCAACTATATATAGATATATGTTTGTATGTATATATGAGTACAGGTTACTGCAAAGCCTATGATTATAAGTAGAGGAGAGGTGATCAGAGACCTCTCGTCCTGCCATGCCGCCCTATCTTTCCACCACCTGTGACCCTAACATCCTCCATCTTATGATACATCTATATCTATAGCCTCCTTTAGCTGTCTGTACTCTTCACATGACTTTAATTTACTTCACTTTTTACTCTTCTTTCTTTTTCATCTCTGTCCTTCTTAATTTGACTCTATCTCTCTCTCTCTCTCTCTCTCTCTCTCTCTCTCTTTCTTCTCACCTCAATTCTCCCTATAAATAATCGCAAGTGCTTGAACTTCTTCTTCTAAATTCAATCCTACCCTTTGCAAAATCCAGTTTTTTTTCCTTGATTCTTCATCTGGGTTCTCTCCAAACTTTGAAAATCATCCATTGATCGTCTGTATCATCATATGTATTACATATCTACTTCTGGGTTATTTCCTTTTTCTTTTTTCGTGTAGCTTTTTGTTGATTCTTCATTCTGGTTTCTTAAAACTTTTAGGTGTTTCATGTTTCAAAAGTATTGTTGAAGCACTTTTTCTCTTCAGTCATTCTCTCCTGTTTGAAGAAAACAAAGTTCTTTGATCAGGCGTGCATGTGGGATTATTATTCTTTTTCCCTTTTATTTTTGTCTTTTCGTTTCTTTCAGGTTTGTCTTTTCCTCTCTTCCAAACAAGATCACATGGAAATTCTTTGACCTGTATCTTTCACATTCTACAACACATTTATACTAATCATCCAAGTGCATATGGACCATGTACATCATATATATATATATATATATATATATATAAAGATACGCATGCATGCATTTACATTTGTTTTCCAACTCTTAATTAATTACTTCAAATATAAATCCACCAGTCGAAAAAAGAAAAGAGAAGCAAGATTTGCAGGGCGTTGACAATGTCTGCAAAGGAAAAAGTGAAGCTGCCAGCATGATCTAGCTAGCTTTAATGGTTATAGAAGAAATGATAACCCTAGTTAGGTCATGCTCTGACAGCCTCACTCCTTCCTGCTTGGGGACCCATCATATATATAATATATAGACTCAACACCGCCATATGTACGCCTCTCATACATGTATATGTATCAAATCTTCTGTAAGGAATCCTTTGTTTCAGATCTCCCTCCCCGCATGCGTTCTGCTAATCACTGTTTTCTTTTTGTTTCTACTTTTGTAATTAGTTTCTTTTTCTTATTTCTCTAATTCTGTACTATTCATTTGCTTTGTCGTTTTTATTAGCAGGAACCAGGAACCTTGCTAGCTTCTGCATGGAGTTCTCGGGTTTTGGTGTAAACAGATTCCAACTTTTGCAGATTCTGGGTCGCCTCTAGGATATTTACATTACCATTAGCAAAGATATATACATATATAGATGCATATATATATATATATGTATATTTCTTGTAAATTTAGGCTACTTATGTTTTTCTGTACATGTGGTGGATTTCATCACCTTGAATTGGAGTCAATTATCTTGTTCTATTTCACTTTGTTCCTTGTTGTATTTGTAAATTTTGACTTTTTACATATTGTAACAAAAATAATAAACAAATGAATTTAAATTATTTTTTTAACAAATATTATGAACTTACCCAATTCAATGGCAATTCTTTTGCAAATATATATATATAGAATATATAAATATATGTAAATATAAATATATAATTGATTAGGTTATTTTTAAGTACGAAGGGACCAAATATCTTAATTTTAAGTAATGACAAACCGTATCTCACAGATATGTATAAATTATATATGTTTTGTGTATATATTAAATTTACGAAAGTGAAAAAGAAAAGATATCTATTCACATATATATATATATATATACACACACACACAAAAGAACATATACAAATATAACATAACATATGTAAAACTAGGCATCTAACTAAATGGTCCCCTATTGAGCTAGCTGTTCCGTTCCAGAATGCGTGCCTGATTTATATATGTGCTTTATATATAGATATATATATGTATATATACAAACACATATGTATCTGAAATAAGTGCATGGAACTCCTCAAAACCCTGTCGTCAGTATGGTATATGACAATATTCATTTGTCTCCCCCATGCGATCCATTCTCTCCTTCTTTTAGTTAATGGGTTTTGGTCTTGTATTATTCTAGACGTGTTTTGTGATATA